TGTAACAAATGGAAAATGGGGCTTGCGGGGCGATATTAGGCTATGGCAATCCCTGCAGCCTGAAAGAAGCTGATGATCAGGAGGCTCCCGCTGAAACTGAAACAGGCTGTTTGCTGCATGAAGGCAAATTGTTGGGAGGGAGAAGCAGATTTTTTGTTGTTGTGCTAATCAGACTGTTTGCTGCAAGGAGAAAAGACAATAACTATAAATCCCTATAGAATGTTCGAATTATTAGACTTATTTTTTAAATACTGCTTTATTATTGTTCTAGACAACTTAGCAAAATGAAGCTTTTTGAAATAAATGCTTGATCTGAACAGGCCCAGTGCTATTGTATCTTCTTGTAAATAGCAGAAAATAACGTATACTTCCAGAAAGCCACATCAATTTTAACAGCATCTGTACAAGTATAGTATGAAATGTAACTCCACAAACAGCGTATACGATCCGTACTGTTCGCTGTTAGGAGAAAAATTGTTGGGACACAGAGGCAGATTTTTTTCTCGTTTTCCTCCACAAAAGCTAGATGCGTCTTACACTTCACAGCATCTTATACTCTGAAAAATACGGGTATGTATGTGGAAATGTGTGCTAGTTTATTACTTATTTGGGTTTAGGGATTTTTTAAAAAAATATTGATTTATTGAGATGTATTCTATGTTCTTGGGTGGGGTGAATCAAGGGAGGGTCATTCAATTTCGTTGTACACATGTTGTGCATAGACAACAAAGGTTCGAACTTGAGATGGTGATAGACATTAACTATTTAAATGATGAGCAAAAGAAACCTTTTATATTTTTCAATTTTATATGCTTAGTAAAGGTGTCCCAAAACATTGGGTTTCTAAATTATTGTCTGTGCTACCAGTACTGCATTCTATCATGATTAATTTCTTTTAATTATTTTATGTCTCTACAGCACAATATTACAGAGTTTCTTTTAAACTTATTTATGGATAAACAGGGATATAAGCATTAATTTGCTACGAGCATCTCTGTTCCCTAGCCGATTCCACAATCCAAGTACCAGAGTTTTCGGAGTATAAGATGCACCGGAGTATAAGACGCACCAAGATTTTGAAGGGGCAAATAAAAAAAAAGTTTTTGCACTCTGCAGACCTCCCAAAAACTCTATTAGGAGGCTTACAGAGTGCTCCTGGGGGGTGCCCGCCCAAATGAGCAAAAAAACGGCCCATTTTTTTGCAAAATCAGGCCCTTTTCTGTCAAAAAAAGGGTTTGCATAGCCTTTAGGAAGCTTTCAGAGTGCTCCTGGGAAGAGGGGGGGAAGTGAGCAAAAAATGGCCCATTTTTCGCTCATTTCTGCCCTCCCCAGCCCCCAGGAGCACCCTGAAAGCCACCTAACGGCTATGCACGGCCATTTTGGTGAAGGGGGTGGGGTTTCACATAAAGAATATAAGTAATATAAACATTTCTACCTTTACTGTTTTCTTCTAGAGAAGCATGAAACATGAATTGTAAAAGGTTAAACTTGTCTCTGAGCCACTCTGGTTTGTAATGATGGCTGTGGTGGAAATATTTTGGCATTCTATTTAAGTTTAAATTTAAATTTTAGAGTACAAAGAAGCCCTTCCCACAGCATAGAAAGTGAATTTCTTCTGTGTGTACAAGGCACATTGGCTGCAAGAGTTGTCTGCTGAAGGATTTCTTCCTGCAGAAGAGAACTCGTACTATAGAGAATATATATGGAAAATGTTTTTACCTTGTTTATTATTACAAAACGTGGTGTTGTTCTTGCTCCCATGCTGTAGCCTTTGATACTCTGTGGTCTCTTAGCCAAGTTATATATAAGATTGTTCCTCTACATATTAAAAGAAATGTTAAAGTTATTCTACACTATAATAATTGGGCGGGGGGGGAAGAACAATGTTTAGCAGCATAATAGAGTCGGCAAAAGATTTCTACTGAGAAGAAGTTAATAAAAAGTAAATCTTGGGTATTCAGAGCGAAAGCCTGAGTAGTATAAAGAAATATAAAATCATAATGACACTTAATTATATTATACAGACAAATCAAAAGTCAATGTTGGAGCTTGGTGGTGTATAATAAATAAAATAATTACAATGTAATACCCTACTTAAATTTAACTTTTTTTAAAACTGAATTTTCTCAAAGCAATTAACCAATTTCCCCCCAGCTTATTGGAATAATTTGAGCCACTTAGAAGAATGGTTGAAGAAATGGTGCACTCCGTTTGTTTTCCCACTTATTATTTATTAAACCAATTTAGATAGCTGCTCATCTTACAAGGAAAAGATTCTGGGTGGAAAACTACAGAGCTAAAAACGTTAATACATATACTATAGGATTCATTAGTCTAAATAACAGAACTTGTATTCATGGATTTTTTTTCTGGAAGCAATCATGTGAAGTAGGTAGAAATGAAAGAGAGTATCAAGCCACAGAGTCATCATGTGAAAATACTATGAGGTTCAACTGTGGTGTCTCAAATCTTTGGAAATATTCTCTAATTATCAATTTTCTAAGACCAGAGACATAGCTTTTATTTGCAATATATTTGAATTTTGGAAGCAAAAGTTATCAATGTAATCTGAATAGTAAATATCCTTTCTAAAGAATAAAGAAAAATGAAAAATAAAGAAAAATGAAAAGGAACACTAGTTACCTCTGCATGATTATAAGTTCCTGGTCCACGGTCAGGATCCCCTTTAATTGGTGCGAACTGATTACCTAATCGGTCTGGTGCATGATGAAAGGGGAAAATTTTCTTTTCTTGACAGGACCCAAATGAATTTCCCATCTGACCATCTGAAAACCCCAATAGGAGTTCATGTCAGTCGAACATTTTATAATGTGCTACAAACTTAAGTTTATAAAATAGCACAGTGACATCTCTTAACTATTAGACTAACTTTTCAGTGAAACACGGAATACAGCCAGCCAGTCAAGTTCATTCACTTAATTACCATTAATTACATTACTTTTATATAAATACTTGGTTATTTACATAAAAAACTTAATTAGAAAGGAAAAATAGATATATAGTAGCCAGAATTGATGTCATAAGTGCAGCACAGTCATGTGAGATTTCATTTAATGATAAGTGTCATTTAGTGATAGAGTTGCAGGTCTAAACTTTAGTCAATAAGTGAGGACTATCCATAACAGTATTCAGATTTGCATCATATGTTGTCTCAATCTTATTGCAGCAACACGAAATTTAGCTGTTTGACAATTTCATATCTGAGAGAATGTAGTATTGATCTGTTCTACAGAGTACTGATGCAGTGGGGGTATAGCAATAGCAATAGCACTTAGACTTATTGTTCTGTTCCCCCCTTCACGGCTCTTAACAAACGGCAAGACNCTCTCTCTCTCTCTCCTACCTACTGTATTTCTCTCTCTTTCTCTCCCTCTCTATCCCTCTTACCTACTTACTTTTTAAAAAATTTGCCTCTGCAAAATCTTGGTGCATCTTATACTCTGAAAAATACGGTAACTAAACCATACAATTTCCAGCTTATGCATAGTTAAATCCTTTCCAAAATTAAATGAAAAGCAAAAGGAAACTCAAAACATACGTTTTTCCTGCCTATGCTCCTTAGCACTGAACTTACTTTATTTTTCAGGTTCCATTTCTAATAGCCAGTTTTTAATTTAAGAAATGAAAAACAGTACCCAGGAAAGAGTTCTCTATCTTGAACCTGCTCTAAAAACCGTGGTACATTGCTGAGAAATGGGAAATGAGCAGTCTTATGCTTGTGTTCTTTGATCCATATTGATTGATATGTTGTAGGCGCAGGGGTCAAATGCTAAAAAAAAGAGAGCATAAAATGAAATTATAAAGAATGTTGTTTGAAGTCCATAAACACTCCAATTAGCTTACAGTTTAAACTGAGTGAATAATCTTGATCTTTAACTCTGTCAAACTCCATAAAAACCGAATAATCTGTGAATTAATAGAATACATTGTAAATAAATCTGGAACGGTAATTAAAATCCAATTTAATATTTTTGTACACTTTTTTGCATTAACAGTGACTCCAACACAACAGGATTGCAACTGTGCAATCCTGAAAAAAGAAATTGTTGCTTTAGTTTCATGAAGGATGTCTGTCTAAATAAATTCAAAATACTGCACAGTTACATTAGATTCCTTTCTAGTTTGATGTCTTATTAGAATAATTTAATGTGTGATGAAGTATTTTGGGTGTATAAAATTATCCACCATATGATATGAATGCTGCAAGATGGGTGTGCCACTGTTACATAAAAAAAGCTTGATTCTTCTTCTCTTTCTGGGGCTTTTCTGAAGTGAATTGAGATTTTACATAGTGCCAGTGTAAGGTGCAACATATATATACAGGTGTAATATTATATACTGTGTATGTATAAGGTGACCAGACGTCCTGCTTTTGGCGGGACACCCCCGCTTTCCAATGCATTTTCCCGCGTCCCGCACTCTTTTTTAAAAAGCACGCTTTTTTTGGCGCTCGCAGCTCCCGCCCATCAGCTGCTAGCTTGCTGGGCTGGCTCATCTGGGAGGGTAGAGAACAGAACGATGAGCCAGCCCAGCAAGCTAGCAGCTGATGGGCGGGAGCTGCCAGCGCCAAAAAAAGCATGCTTTTTAAAAAAGCGTGCGGGACGCGGGAAAATGCATTGGAAAGCGGGTGTGTCCCGCCAAAAGCGGGACGTCTGGTCACCTTATTCATGACCCTCGTCCAAGTCTGGTAGGTTTCATCCGCTGAGTCTGCCAGAATCTGTCTTCAGGAGAGACAAGTCCCTATTTCACCGAAGGTCAATGACCCAGCGGCTACTCTCAACCTGGTTTAGCCAGCCTGTCGAAGCTGTTGCCCGGGGTGT